AAATAAGGAACCAGAGATTTCAATTTATAATGAAGACAACTACAAAGCAAAAAGAGGGAAATGTACAGTTACAGCACTTCCAAGTGGCAAAGAAGTTAAGCAGATTTCAAGATAAAACAGACTGCTTTGCTAACCTCAAAGAAACTTAATACACCTTCACATCAAGTCAAGAAAAGGGAAAACCACGAAGATTTTGTACACATTAAAACAATGAAAAAATTAACAACAAAACACATAAGCAAAATGAACTCAGCACAGAAAAATATGTGGAACAAGAACAAGGAAATCGGCAGCACCACACAAAAAAAATACAGATCAAAATGACTGCAATCAATTGACAATTACACTGAACATCAATGGATTAAAGGTCCCAAATAATGTAAGAGAAATGTAGAATGAAACTCAAAATTACTAAAAAAAAAAAAAAAAAAAAGAATGGAAAGAGACTGATGGAACTTGAGACTCTGACCCTCAACCACCCTTCATGTGTAGAAGGAACCCACCCTCGTGGTCCAATAGTCATCCAACCAGTAGGTAGTATATAGAGGGACAACAATATGCACACCATGGAATGGTCAATCATTCAAAATCAAAAGGACAACATTTACCTAAGAACAAAGTCGGGACTGGATGGGAAGATGGGTGGAATGGAAATAGGAACCACAGAGAGGAAACCAGGTAACTGTTGTTGCATGGAGGGGATTGTAATCATTGAGATGAAACCTAGTATATGATTTGTTGCATGTAAAATTGATGATCTTGTCTATAAGCCTTCACTTAATTCACAATAAAAAGTTAAAAACATATATTGCTATCAGGAAGAGTAATATTAAGTAGAAAAAAGAAAGTAACATCGAATTATAACTTTTGCCAGAGAAAATTGATAAAACATGCTATCCTATGATTTTATTACCAAAAACTATTTGGTCTTAAGAAACTATTAATCCTGCTATCTAGCTACTGCCACAGAAGTACAATGCAAATAAACTATGCCAAAACTAACATCACAAATCATTTTCTTTGCATTTTAAGTTATAGATTTTTATTTCTTTGAGTTTGTAGAAAAATGAAATTAAAGATACGGGATTATTATTTTTTTCCCCATGAATTATCTGAAGCTTCCTCTTATTACATTGTACAACAGTGATTTTCAAACTTTACTGGGTATAAGAATCACCCTTGGCAATGTGAGGGACAACTAGCTTGAGTGAGAAAATAAATTTCTATTCTTCAATGTCACCCACTTGTGGCATTTGTTATGGCAACAGTGGGTAATTTAGATAATACGTAAAATTTAAGAGAATTTGACATATAATTACATTATGTGTACTATCTCTGGAGTGAAACGTCCCTGGTTGAGTAACCTGGCCCTGTCACTTCCTCATCAAGTTACCTAATATCTGTGCCTCAGTTTCCTCATTGGGAAATGACAATAATAAAATTTACTACACAAAGTTATGCTGAGGAGTGAATATAAGCTGATACATAAAGTGCTTAGAACAATGACTGACACAGAGTAAGTGATTACTTATTATGAGAAATGTTTAAATATTTGGGCAGGGTTTGCTTGTTAAGATTTATAAACTTGCCTGATATTTGAACTGTTTAAAAAAGAAAGTTTAATATGATGACTTTATAAATGCAAGTCACTCTGTGCCCAGCATTTATTTGGTCAAACACCAGAATAGGTTGTCATAAAGGCATTTTACAAAGATGAGTAACATTTACAATCAGTT